ACACATACATATATATATATATATATATATATATATATATATATATATATATGTATGCATGCATGTATGTATATAAATGCCTCCTCATTAAACACCACCGCATTAGATCACTGATCCAAAAAACTTTTTTAGGTTACATATACCGGTTCAATTAAAATGTTTTATTAATAATAAAAATAAGCTAATAAACTTAAAATGCAAGTCATAAGTAACTTCTTCAATTATCAGTCCCTCTCTAATGCAAACTTCAAATGAGAGAATGGAAACAGGTAGACACAATGAACCACACTGTGCTTGGGTTCTGTATCTAATGGCGTGTCTGATTGTTACGACTTATAAAAAGGGAAGGGATTTGTATTTTTATGCTTCTGATGAGGTTTTTCGATCCACCAGCGGTATAGTGTCTGTGTCTGAAAGGTTTTCTCACTCTGGTTCGAGTTCAGGTGGGATTTGTGGTCACTGCAACATAGCGGGTCTTTTACAGCAGTGGCTGAATCTGACCTTCGATGAAGCTGGCTTTTACAGGAATAAAAGAATCCCACAGAATAAAAGATGAGAGATCAAGACTGTTGATACAGTGAAGTGACTCTCCTCCTCCGTTCTGCTCCAGGGTCGGATTTCTCTGTAAAGCAATCTGATCAGAACTTGTAAAACAAGGGAATGTGCTAATAAGGATTCAGGAATGACCCGACAGACCAAAAACGCTGGACAACTAAAATACCGAGGATAAACAAAGATTAATCATATCTCCCAAAATAATCAATGAATTGCCAAAGAGATTTGGGAAAACCTTCAAACTGCTTTGAAACTCTAGGTGTTCTAGATGATAATACAAGTGTGATTCACAGATAACCTTTACTTACACAGCTAAACAACTTCCAGCTTCTCAAAGACAACCGGATGATAGCGGAGGTCAAATGAAGCCGCATGAATAAACTTCCAATGCCTACAATTATTCTGCTAAAACAAGAGGCTTCCGTGCATCAGAAATGGGTTGGTTAGTATTCAAGAGACAAGCTGAATATTAATAACTGCTTCACAGGGAATTTTTGTGGACTCTTTCATTGTTGGAATTGCTTGAGGGTAGAAAGAAAAGCCTTTCAATTAAAAGTTGTTTAACACTCTTCATTAAAGGATTGGACCCAGATACAGTCTTCCCTCTTGCCTTAAATTGAGGTGCAGGATGTACTGAAGGACTTCCGATGCTTAACTAGCGGTAAACCCCTGCAGAATGTCTAATGAAATTACCTCACGATACAGAGGCAGAGAACCGATCGAACATCAAACAAAGCGTTATTTTTGTCTTAATTCGTTCACCAACTTTGTTTAGTCATTTCTGGACTGATCTGCATGCAGTATCGATTCCCTTTTTTCATGATTAATCAGATGCTGCTCTCAGTCTCTCAGTTCTGAAGATGAAACAGTTCAGCACTTCTCATATTACTGAAGAGGTATTGACGATTATAAAAGCCAGATAATTCCACCTCTATAATCTAGTTGGATGAGTCACATACAAAGTAGAAAATAGCTGTCAATACTTTTTCCCCCATTAGAATTATATGAAAATTAAAAAAAAAATAAAAAACTGTAAATACTAACGTTACTGTATGTCTGATGTTTCATGTTTGCATCATGGTGACAGGCTGTTGTTTTTATAGAACATATAGTTAATAATAGTCTACTGGTGTTATACCTTCAGTCATTTTGAATTTGAATTACCTTGACTTTTGAGATTTTTTTAAAGCACTTTCCTCGTATTATTTCTCAACATAGAATAAGCATAAGACAAGTTTGTTCAAGATGTAGTTGAATTTCCTGCATCTTTTCTGCAAAGATATTTAACAAGTGATTTGTTTAACATTTATCATGTTGACAACTTCATGTGTGGTGCACATGGAATAGAATTTTCTTTAACTAAAGGGTTAATAAAGAAAAAGTTACTTGAATCATGTTGTAGTTACATTTTCAAGTTGACTAGTTAAAAATCGTAAAAAAATTGAGAATCGGTCAAATGTTCTGAAAAAAAATCTTTTTTTCGAGAGCCCTAATTTGAAATAAATATTGTTACACTATAAATATCCTGACTGCCTTTTTGTGTCCTCCTATTCTTTCTACCTATTATTTTGCATGTGAAATGTACAACAGTTCTGCTTTCTGCAAGTCTGCTCACACATTAGCTACGGTTTGTTATCGGGTCTAAATTGTTTTTAACTGCCTCATCCATCAATAACAGACACTTTTTGCATTACATTGTAACAGGAACACAAAACAATCAGCACTGGAACAAACCTCTAAAACAGGCAGAGACTTGAAAACACTGCATTTCTTCTAAAAGCTATGATTCCTCATAATATCACTCATTTAAGTCATGTAAACATGGTCATTACTGAAAAAAAAAAAACATCTGGACTGAACTGTAATTCATGGAGTTAACAAACAAAGTTCAGGGATTTAAGAGTCTGGAATCAAAATTTAGTGCTAAAAAAATGGCAGAAAGCATGAGACGAGATCGTTTATGAAGCCTTGAGATGTTTTTTGTTGGCTCAGATGTGGAAAGTCTCCTTAAACATTAACACCAGACTCGTGAATCAGAGTCTTATTGGCTGGTTAACAAGCAGTGATGCTAAAATCTCCCCAAAAGAGCGAAGGTCGACTTATTCCTTCAACACTGGAGACGATATAGACGAAGTCTCAAAGCTTTATCAAAAAGTCATTATTCTGATTCTGTTGCATCATTCAGGGTAACATTTATAGCAAAGAAGTATTTGTAAGGATAAAAACAAAAATGAATAATAAATAAAAGGCTTACCATGTTAAAGTCTAGGTTCCTGTCCACCCACTCGGTAGCAGCCTCGAATTCGTCATACATCTCCATAATGTAGAGCGTGTCCAGTGCATCCACAATGGTGGCTCCTTTGAGACTACCTGTGGATAAATATGACAACAAAACATTTGAGAAAACTTCCTGTGGGGATACCTCTAGGATCAGAGCTGAAATAAACCAATAGCTTTATGATAAAGACCTCGGAGCCTTTGAGATATGGTCACTAATGCCCTGCCTAAGGGAAAATCCTGTGTAGAGAGCAAACAAACCACGGCTACAACAAATGAAAACCTCGCGAGTTAACACCCTCAAAGGGAAGCCAAGGTTAAGACGAACAGATCTTACACAGGCCAAGTCAGATTACTTCAGTATTTTAGTAGATAACATGAACACAACAAAGAGGATAAAAGAAAGGCAGATGCTCAATAACTCTCTGGTGTTGTCTTAGACAGTGAAGATTATACATTGACTCAGATTTGGGCTCCTTAGTTCCATATTGATGCGAATCAGTTTATCAGGAAACAGGAAAAGGAAACAGGATTTGTGCTAATCAAGCAAAACACCATAAAAATGAGCAAAGTGCCCTCCCTCCTGCTTCCTACAGCCACACTGTTCTTTAGGCAGAACAGTCCCCATGCGGTTAAATCGCCCCGTCATAAAAGTTCGAGTTTTATGATCTGATGTGGCTTTTTCAAGACTGCTTTGGTCTAAAGTCATTATTCTACTTTATAACCCTGCTCCCTAAACCAAAATCACAGGTTACTGTAGACTTCACTTTGTAAAAGCCAGGGAAACAGACAAAGACGAGAACGTGTCATACTAAACTACAATACTGGGGTACAAGGACATGAGCTTTGGAAATTCATGTAGCAAAGGTAAACAGTCTGAAGGCAGAGAATTACGGTATGTGCGTATTATGGTCAACATGCAGGTTATCAGATCCTAGCGGTCTGGCTTTTGTAAATGCCATGAGTGAAATAAATCAAGTTTCATGGGGTAATAATTTAAATTAATAGCATATTAATTCATTGTATTTTTTGTGTATTTATAAAAACAACCAAATGCAATAAATATAAAAAATAGAAACGTAGAAATGAATTAATAAAAATAATATGCATTACATTATATAATACAATAATACACAGGTAAATAAAAAAAATTCCACATGCTGTACATTTACAGTTGTGCACGCAAAATAAGACAAATATACACATCATCATCCTGTTCAAAAGTTTACACCCCCGGGTCTTAATGCAGCGTGTTTCCTTCTTGCGCATCAGTAAATGTTTTCACCTTTTGTAATTGTTATGTATGAGTCCCTCAATTGTCCTCAGAGTGAAAAGATGGATGTAACACGGACACCTTAAAATAAAGTGTTACCATTTTTTGTTTATATACATTTTATTTACTTGTGTATAAACAAACTGCTCACATTCCGCTGAAGCCAAAAAAATTCAATACCCAATATACAGAAAGCAGATGCAAACAGTACGCAAATACAGGTGTTCTATGCAGAGACGATGCAAATCAAAAATCTCCTTTACGGCAGAAACTGCACTGTAGGTGAAAGGACAGCATATTTGTGCATTGCCGTGTCTTTTCACGGGCCCCTGAGAACTCAATCCCTGGGTTAGACATTCACGTCCCAAAAGCATTCCCCCTACATGACTGGTTTTACCCTCTGAATGCTGACCCAAATCAGGCCTATACTAGCTTATCCACAGGGATAATGTCCACTGCACAGGTTTAAGAGGCTCTCAGACACTATAAACTTATCTTATCAATTCCAATTACACTGGTAAATTATAAACCAGCACTTAATGACCTGATAAAGCTATTCACAGACATGAACCCCTGCTGAATCTGATGAGAGCATGTACTGACCTCAGGTTAGAGGTGATGGGACACCAGCCTGCTTGTCTTTTAATACAAAGACTCGATCTTATCACCGTTGTACCCCTTGAGAAGGTTGTGGGTCGAAGACGATAACAATCTGACTTCCAAAGTACAATTAACTATTGAACCATCTTCCATCCCAGTGCATGTTATGGATTAATCAATGAACTGGTTATTCTTAAGCAGGGTCAAAACAAAACAGAAATTAGCACTAATGCTTGACGTTAACATTTTGTGGTGGAGCTCATCTCAGCAAGGCCTGTATAACAGATGGCTGCTCATTTGGGATCTGAAAGAAAGCCATTACCACGAGTGAACCTCCTGGAAGCGGCATTATCGAAATGAAGGTTGACCTCCAGAGCTTTTTGGCAGGGAATTGACATTGGCAGCATCTGCAAGGTGGTACATTCCTGCATGTTTATTCTGGGCTGACAGATACTGGACAGTAACTCAAAAAACATTATCTGGCAGGACATTTGTTTTTAAAGAAATGACCTTTTGCCCCCATGGTGCATGTCTACAAATAATCAAACATGGGACACAAAGTAAAGTCTACCGAAAGTCTAAAACTAGGTCTAATTTAAAAACACACCTACTTCTCAGTCAAACTGCAATTAGTATTGTCCATAAAATGCGTTGCACAAATTCGAACATCTGGGTTGTGCTGTTCTGTTGTAAATAAATCTTAACCAATGATTCCTAATTGCATCTACTTCCGGAAGGCCAAATAAAGTGCTTTTGCTTTCGCACTGAATCACACAGCGTCTCCCTGACATGGCTGCATCAACACTACCGCTGTTCCTGAAACCACGCCTTCTTTCTTTGCATGCACATTTGGGCGGCATTATGCTAATATTTCCACATAGTGACGTAGATATGTGGGGGCGTGTTAAAACGAGCTATTTTAGGTAGGTGTGGCTGACTCTTAACTTTTATAAAGAATATCTCTTTGGATTTGAGACTTTAGTCTTCGCAACTTTACAGATCTTCCTTATGCACCAAGAGCTTGTAACACTCCAAAGAGAAAGGAAAACTTGAAATCGCATCATATGACCCCTTTAAATATATCTAATAATCATGCAGTCAAGCCAATACTGATAATTTTTCAATTTACATTTGATTTTTTTTTTCCCTGAATGCTTACTTGAATACTTAAAGGGATAGTTCACACAAAAATGACAATTCTTCTATATGACTTCCTTTATTATTTGTGAAACAAAAGGCATTTTGAAAAATGTATATTTGAATTATATATACACAGTATAATAAAATTCAAAGGGGTCTTTTTTGGACCTCTACACTCTTCAAAAATTAAATTAAATAATTTATTATTGATCACTGTTGATAAATAAATTACTTAAATGATGACTAAATGTTTACTTGAGATAATATATCTGAAGGTTGCATACCATTGTGTTAATTATATACAATTTAATAATTGATAAATAACTTAATTCATAACCTTTTAAGTAAAGGAATATATGTTAAAAACGTACGAAAACTAGCATTGGGATTTTTTGGGAAATTTGGGAAACATCACATTAATATTGGTATCAGGAAAACCCTACTGCACACTGTCATACAAACTGAAAGCAATTATTTAACAGTCTCATGAACCATTAGCACATTTAACAGTTATGATTCTTGGCTCATTTCGCGACAAAAAAAAAAAACACAGTTTAATGAGTCAGTTGACCCAGTAATCACTCTGAATGATTCTCTGACTTGTTCCATTTCTATGCCAATAATTAGCCAATTCAACTCAGAGTGATTAATCATATAAATGAGTCATTTAAAAAGTATTAAAAAAATAACCAGCAATTTGTTCATGAATCAGACATCACTGATTGTGCTGTTTATTTGTTTGTGCATGCAACCAATGAGAACAACATAATAGAAAGTTGTGTTGTCTGTTTACTGTCCGATACTTGACCATGTCCTGTGGTTCTCAGCATGTTTGATTCAGACTGCAAGCTCACAACTCAGCTAAAAAAAATAAAAAATTTTGCCGCAGGGTTGTAGATTCAGCAGCAGGGAACTGCCGCTACTCAATACAAACAGTAAAACATCACCTCCTCTAGTGACACTGTTGCTCAATGAGGAAAACGTATAAACAGACAGTATCAGTGAACTCAGAGGACTGACACAATCTCTAGTCAGAGCTTCTAAAGCAAAATACATGACTTCAAAAATAAGATTAGGCTGATGATTACAGCTGAAACATGAAGACTCGTCTTGCTCAGCATAGGGCTGGGCGCTATACCGGTATGAAAGTGACTACCGGTATTATGTCGTTCCAAGATATGGATTTTGCTATACCATGGATACAGTTATATATTCATGAATTTAAATTTTGCATTTCTATAGTTTTGTTCAATTTGGTACGCTTTGCAAATTTTAACACAAATGACGATAAAGAGTTGAGGCTGAACGTTTTTGTCCTCTGTGTGCAACGCCGTACTACACAGGCATTAGTAATCAAACACAGAGCATCGTAACAGACCAATATTAATATTGCGGCAATGTAATAAACATATGTAAACATGTGGACTGCACTAAACACTGTTAACTTTAGACCAGTGGTTTCTTGAAAATTTAAAATAGCATAGAGAGAATAACTGTTGTTAATATATATATTTTTTTTCCATGCTGTCCGCTAAGGCATAGGACACACACACAGTCTTTCCTCCTCACCAACGACATTAAACACAGTGTCTACACCGGACGCGAGTGGCAAAATACAGTAGAAACCATTATAATCAGTGACACTGTGTACACTGGATGCGACGCGACAAAACCCGACATTAAACTGATGCCTTATTCTATTTATGACATACTGACACAAAGTTAATATGATTTGCAGCGGTCGCGTCCAGTGTAGAGCTGTTGCAGCGCGACGTGACAACTGTAGCGTCCTGTATAGACACGGTGAGTGAAGCCGAGATCAAGATATGCATTGTCATATTTTCTGCATTTAGCATTTGAACGACCAGCACCTGCCTGGGTCTGTGCGAAAAAGGGGGGGGTCGTCTTATAATCAGGGTCGTCTTATATTCGGGCCAATACGGTAATTACCTCAATAGGACTCACCGTACCCGCTTGAGCACTCCGTTATCAGTTGTAAAAGTTGTGGTTGTATCAATAACAGACCACTAGATGGCGCGATTGAAGTATCAGAGTTGTATTGCAGGCAGCCATGTAGAAA